GTTTTTGTGGATTGTGGGCATGTATTTGTCTGCGTGTCATTTATGTTGAGATGAAATGAAAGACCTAAAGCCAGTTCTGCTTCTGCAGCTACTTGCTTTGATGAGAATAGGTCTCTTAAAATGGCTGAAGTGCTTGTTAAGGTCATTGGCCAAGGTGGATTGTCTGTTTTTCCGTGGTAGCAGCAGCATGCACTGTTGTGGTTTGTGTGTAGCCCTTGCATATTGGGGAATCTTTGAGGATGAGCAACTCGCTCATGGGAATCTCGCTGATTTCCGTGATGAGCAAACTGCGAACGCATCCCTTATCGCACTGACGACAAGGCATTCCCTGTGTATTCACTGCTTCTGACTGGCGCTTCCAATGACGACATAAAAATCCATGTCCTATGAATCTCTACTGGTTGATTACTTTCATTGCTGAAGCGGAGGTTCGCCGAGACATTAAAAAGTGCACGTATGAGTGTGTGCATCTGCGGAGAGAAAAAAGCAGCGTATCTGCGTGGCTTGACAGGGCAGGACACACTGCCCAACTTTACATAGCCGCGTTAAAACAACTGCTGAAAGCCATACAGGTGTGATGTTCATGAAGGGGCCCACAAAGTGTCCGTTGATGTTGGGCTGGACTTGTTTCACCTCACACGAATGTACGTCGAACCTGACATGCCTTCTGCCAAGTTGAGGGATGACACTCTTTTGTTCCTCTCTCTGAACTATTGTTGAGGAATTACTGTCGCAAAACCTGACTATCGTTGGCCTGCATCATTTGGCTTGCGTGCTTGTAGAACTGCTTTCATGATGATACAGTTGTTGTTCCTCTCTCTGAATTTTTGTTGAGGATTTACTGTCGCAACTCCTGAAAAAAAGCAGCCGCGTTATGTGTGTGGCTTACTGCGTGGAGGACTCCGTGCAGCCCATCATCGTATTTGGGCCAGCTAGCATTCCAGAAACACGGGCGAAACGCCATTTGCGACATGCAGGTTATTGTTACGTTGATATTTTTGTACGTTGACTCCAGCACAGTTCTGAGCAGTTGTAGTTGCTGTTACATATCAGCCACCTTTGCGCTAGTTACACATTTTGGACAGAAAGTTAGCTACTCAGAACTTCAGTTTTGATTTAGTGTTATGGGGAGGTACGCCTCAAATCTCCGGCGTGGCAGCAATGCTATTAGGATGATTTCTCAACGCTTGGCTTCCGAAGACGTGTCTTGTGGAAACCAGTAAAAACCAGTTATCCCTGTCTGACAGCTTTGCATGACACGTGGGTTGTTTTTTGTTGCTCCTTGGCAGTTTATCAGCGCGTCTTGGAGCCGTTGTCCTCCAGTTGCGTTAAACTAGCTGCACACACTGCAAACGCAGGCACGATACGCTACTCCCTGCGGCAAGCAGGATCTGATTGCAGCTTGTCGCCATTGTTGCTTCCGACGTAAAAGGTGCAAAAATGCCGCGTGACTGGTGACGTTCGACTGCGTGGTGAGATGGTAATGAATTCATCTGCACTTGAGTTGTTCGGGTTGTTTGCGTTGGCTTTCTCTGTGATGTATTACCTACTAACCCACGGATTTCCACCGTGAAGAATACTTTCCAAATCACCATCTTTCGACTGATAGAGAGCATTAACGTACTCGCGTGTCAGACGCACTCTCATACGCGGAGTGCGTTATGCAGTTGACGTACTGCCATGCACCAGCCTAAACAGTTCTGCTGCATGGAATATAAATGACTGCGAGAGTGCTGTGGATCAAACTCCATCTCGCTATTCTCGGTTTGCTGGGAAGTGCGATCTAGGGAACGCATGATGGGGTGCAGCGAGATGGCACAAGCGAAATGGCTCTTGCTGTCAGCTGCACTTGGGTCGTGATGACTAATTTTTGACAAGCATATATCGGATCCTCAATGACGTCACTTGACACAACTGATGACTGCAGCTTCGCAGCGAGGTGGCGTGTTTTTGTGGATTGTGGGCATGTATTTGTCTGCGTGTCATTTATGTAGAGATGAAATGAAAGACCTGATGCCAGTTCTGCTTCTGCAGCTACTTGCTTTGATGAGAGTAGGCCGCATTCAGTGGCTCGCGTGTTTGTTCGTCCTTTGATACACGCTACCCACACCCAGGGAAGTCGTCAGTGCTGAAGGGTGTGGCGTCTATATAGCCTGGAAGACGTGACTGAAGGTGTGGCCTCTTAGCAAACGATGACTGATCGGGCAACCACTGCAGTAGCGAAACTCTCTTTTTGAGGCGTTGAGGTCCCGTACGTCACATCCTCCTGATTTTTGCCTTCACTGCATCATTCCCCAAATAATGTAGTCAGCGACCACCTGTTTTCAAAAACATGTGAAAAAGTATAGATGCTCCCAGGGCGCTTATCGCTTGCTTTTGCTTATCTGTTCACATACTTTCGCACTTTCTTGTCTCCACAGGAGTATATATTCATCCGTTGAAGTTTTGTAGCCGCAGGTGCAGGACGCAGCACTGCTTCGATCGCCAAACAACAATTCGAGTGGCAGCTACTCCCGCGGTGTGCCTGCCGTCTGATTGTTGTTATGGTCCTAGAACTGCAATTGCGTATAGTCTCTGTTTTTAGAACACGAGGCACTGGCCATGTGGACAAGGCGTCAGCATCCTTAAAGCGCCAATCACTTGTGTTCCGAGGCTTTTGCATATTCTTCGAGGTTGTTGAAGTTGCAGCATGCACTTTCAAATTTTGATCAGCCCAGCATCTCCAGCAGCCATCTTCCACAATAAGAGCTCTATGCTACGCGTTAGAAGGCATTTCGCTTCTCCGACGGCGACCCAAGAACTAACGAGCTCCAGAAGCCTACTTGAGAAAGTATCGTTTGCCAGTTGGTGAACCCGCCAATGCAGCGCAACAGCCTCTCCGTATACGTAGTAAAACAAAAATCGAAGGTCGTGTAGTTAAGCAACTTAGTTCACTATGGCAATACTAGCACATGTGACATGGGCTGTTTCTAGCCCAGTGTGATATTTCTCGCGAGTGTTGAGTGTGCGCATTGATGCTTCACTTGTTGATGGGTCACTCAACCTTGGCATGCCATACTATAATTTGACAACAATGCCTTTTAAGAGTCACTGCATTGCACTGCACTCGCTTCCTTTTCTCTCTAGCATAACTGATCGTTCAAGCTTTCGTGCCTCGTGCGCTGTAGGTGCATTTGAAACTGGAGAAAAAACGGGCAGAATCACGTGATGAAAACCCCAGTCGGAAAAGTTATTGTACTTGCAGCTGCCAGCTTCTGCATGCGCAACCTCGGCCCGCCGCTGCCACTGCATGAAGGTCAATTGTGAGCTTTTCTGGAACGGTGAACAGAGAAATTCACTGCATTTGGAGTGTTGGACCAAGCTCCGCGAGCGCGTTATCCCTTGGGTTGCAACTGCTTCTTAGGCAAGAACGGCCGAACTGGCTTAGGCGATGCGCGTACAACTTTGGGTACGAAGCGTTTAGGCTCGGCTGCAGCAAAAGTGGTCCTCTTCGGTATTGCTGCTTGTGCTTTTGACTTGGGCTGCGTTTCCTCAGCCTTGGGGCTTCGGGGACCCTCTGGGCTCTTCTCCTCTGCCAGGCTCTGTGCAAATATCTTCTCACACTCCAAATCTAGTTTTCTGCACTCTGAGCTGCACAGAAAACCCACAAGAAAAAAGTGTCAGTCCAAACGCAACGTACACATAGACACCGATTCCCGAAAATAACCACGAGGTGTGGCAAAATGAAGGGTTTTCCTGTTGAAACCGCTGAGTTCTTCTAAACAGATTCAGTATAAGCCAAGCACTGGAGGTGCAATTTGGAAGTAGAAACAAGGGGGAGCCGACGATCTGAAAAAACGTAACCACCCCCATAGCTTGTAACCACCCCCATAGCATTTTGTTTTGCTGTTGCATTTGTTTTTGTCAAGCGCTTACAGCAGCTTCTGCAATGTCGAGTCCACCTCTGCACATAGCGTTTCCGTGTTGACCGCGTGTACAGTAGCCTGAAAGTAAGGTGAAGCAGGATTCGAGTAGCACATCCATTTTGTGATTAATCGGCGGTAAAATGCATTCACAGATAGTTAGATTGAGCACATTCAAAACTGCTTCAAAGAAAAGTCGGAATCTGCTCGTCCTCTTAAATAAGGTGCCGCGCTATTAAAAAAATAAAAAATGTTCAATCAAAAAAGTGTGTCGGTTTCGTTAAAGAATAATGTAAACAACAAAAACAGCAAAACGCCTTCCGTCAAAAGAATGGCGACTAGAACCTGCAAGCGCAGCTTTCTGTGATGAAACGTCTGACCAGTACTCAAGCTAGTCAGACACCATAAAGCGCAGCCCTCCAAATTCTCAGACATGAATTTTAAAAGCATATATATTCATAAGTATATGCGCAAATATTCAAGCACCGCAGCAGCTAATAAACGCGAGGAGTTGTGAATAATTATACGTACGAGGGCTGTGAGATCAGCAGCTAGAACGTGAGGGTCTGTCTCATTCTCATCTATCCAAGCAAGCGAGTTTTCAGAAGCATCTGGCGTTTGCTGGGTTGCCTCTTCCTCCATTTCGATGGTTTGCCATTAATTCACAGACGTAGCGTTGGGCTGTAGGCGGCTCACAGCTTGGTGCAATAATACCCGTTATCGCCTTAATGATCTCTTCACTTCAATGGTGAGATGACTGAGTTGGGCTTGAAGAAGGTCACCGAGACTACAAAAAGTCGTCGCCAGCAAGCTTGGCTGGTGTGTATGCTGATTGCTGCGGTCCTGGAGGTGGCATTGTACTACCCATTGGATAATTCGGAAACTCAGAGAGGCGTAAATTCGCAGATAGCTCGAGGGAAAAAAACGAGGAACAGGCTCCACGACGAAATGCACTGTGTGTTACAGCTTCTCACCGTGGGTCAGGCCTCTTGTCACCGATGGTGAAATCAGCAAATGTATATGCTGTTGAGTTGCAGAAACCCACCAGAAGCAATTCATAAGTACATATGCGCTGTCTGAAAAACAAGAATTATTATTTAGTTTCATGAAATCGACCGCTCTTTCCAAGGGCTTGTCCAGCCAGGGTTATGGAGCCGCACTGACTGCGCCCCAACATTCTGCTCCAGCAGCTGCTTTCACCCACTGCAAATGCATACAACACATTTCCTATCCATTTAATTGATGGTTGAATCCCCTTATCCATTACTTGAGACGCGATCAGCGCCTTAAAGCGCGCTAGCGCCTTCTCAATGGCATCGATTGACTCGGAGGGCTCCAAAGTTTGGAGATGAACAATGAGTTAAGTCATTCTTTTTGTTTCCCCCTGCAAAACAAGGTCATTCTCTAGTCTAAAGCTTATACATTTGCTTGCGCTTGGGCGTCGCCGCGGATTACACCGTGCCCGCTCCTCTCCTTTTTTCGAATGATCGCAGCCGTGCTGTTATCGAGACAAGTCAACCATTGCTTGGCTCTGCTCCCGCCGTGAGCTCTGGCAGAGGGACTGTTAGCGCTCCATCGTAGCTCTAAATGGTCATCAAGGCATAGCTTCACAGCTTCAGTCGCCCACAGCGCTCAGGCCATCAAGAAGATGGCTCTGCTCCATCGAGTTTGGATAGCGTCATGCCTCAGCATGCTTCTTCTTTCATATAGTGAGTCGTATTCGGACCCTTCCGCACTCCAGTTCCACGTCGGGGTTGACAGAAACAGCTACTGCGTCGTCATCGGCAGTGTTGAGTAGCACGCATTTCCTGCTTTTGTTTCTGAGGCACGTGTTTGTGTGTTGCGTTTTTGCCTTTGAACTTCATCTGGCTTTGTAAGCAGCCGCAGCTCATCAGACCAAAAACATCCTGGCAGCTGACGTTCTCATTAATGGAGCCGTCCAAACTTCTGTCCCGTTGGGCCACAACCCACTACTTGCCCAAGTGCACATGACAGGGGGTGAATCCAGCAGCAATAGCTTTCCTGCTGCTTCTGCGGATGTGGAGCGCTCCCTTAATCAACAGGCAGGGGTTGTCTCAGCTGGGGAGTCGCTGGAAGAGCAAAACCAGCAAGAAGCAGAAGAAACAGTGGGCTTCTCTGCGCTGCAGGTAGGGCCTGTACAGGGTTCACTTGATGTCTCATTTGTTTGCTTGGGATTTGATATTAATTTTTTGTTCTTCTATGGGCGGTATTGCTGTGCCGCTTTGCAGACATCTGAGGAGGCCGAAGAGTGCTCATGTGTATTCGCAGTGAGGCAAAGGGCACGATCTGGGGTTCAGGCTATAGTGTTTACAAGTTAACAATAGGTGCAATGAGGGAGGCGCACGCATGCAGGCACTAACTGATATATCGGTCCTGATCATCTAGCAAGTAGATGCCTGGCAGCAAAGTTGCGGCAGCAGCGGGTAGATTGATCGCTATGGGCCTGAGCTCGTTCCTTTATGTGCGATCGTGTTCCATTCACAGGGCGTGTGCCTGTACAAGGGAGCTTGCCTCTGGATTGCTGCCGTCTTGTCTTTCGGTACCCTCGTATTTTTGTTTTTGGTGGCGTGGGCCCTGCAATGGGTGGTGTCGATCCCTGCAGAGTAAGATAGAATGACCCTATTTTGCCGCCCAAGGTGTACAGAGGTCGCAGCGTAGAGGGGACACGCAGTAATGAGTGCATTCTTGTGGCGCTGTGCCTGCCAGAAGGAGATATGTAGCTGTCGCAGTCCATCTATGAGCTCCTAGTACTCGTTGCCAGTCTGTTTGGTGTGGCCTATCATTTGCGTGTTTGCCTTTCCGCCGCCTTCGTTCGACGGTGCTTTTTTGCTACTGCAGCTGAGCCTCCCATTCGATTGTGCCTATGAATGACGACTGCAGCGTTTTTGTTTATATTTTCCACACTTTTTTGTCGTGGTGTGCACAGATGGATCCTCGCCAAGAAGCGTTTGGAAAAAGTCAAAGGGGACGCAGCTACTGATTCTACGCCTCTTCTGTGAGCGCGCAGTGGCAACTGATGAACACAATTTTCAGTGCGACTTCTTGTTTGTGAGTTCCGCAACAAAGTGAAAACCGTTTTCTTCGCGGCGCGTCAATGCCCGCTCGCCGTCTCACAATGGTCGATCACAGGACCACTGGTGCAATTCCCAAACATTGCCACAAAAGCATGTGAATAAATTCACCGATTTGCGCATACAATATTTATTGCATTTAGTATGTACAACCATGTGCAATTTACGTATTAGTGTATAGGACAATAGTGTGTAGCATACATGACACTGCACACACGTAAGCGCATGCCACACGTAAGCGCATGTCAACAAATATTTTCTTTGTTTGGCTGCATGGCCGCTTGCTGCGTTGTGCTGCGTAACAAGAGTACCTAGTGACAGACAGGCAGTACCTGGTTTCCCTCCTTGAAACCATGCTGCAGCGCTACCTGAACAAGGTGCTCATGTAGTTTGTGGAAGCCCATTGAAATAGAATCATCAAGGCTCTAGTTGCTTGCATTTGCGCCAGTACCACGCCAGCTTCCACACGAAAGGCCACATCAAAGCACACGGAAGGAACAAAACGACGAGAACCTCACCAGGTCGCTTGTGCGGCACTGGCCTCCCACTAGTGTTGAGCTGTGCCAGAAGTTGTCGCCACTGTGTGCGACAAGGTTAGCAGACAGACTAAAGCCAACAACCGCAACACGGTGAGAGGAGCGAAGTTCGCGACCCCATCCGTAGCTCTGTAGCAGCATATGGACTCCAAGCCGTTGCTTATTACTAAAAGTGACATCCACCATAATCTACCTCCCTGAAGCCTCCTATGGGGGAGCTGCTGTGCCGCTCGCTGTAGAGAGCTACAACGGTTCAATTGCCTGTCTACAATGGTTGAATTGCATGTCCTTGCTTTTCGTTATCTAATTCGCCCGCTTATAAGCACGTACGTAAGTCAGCTTACGATTGTCAGTTTAAGTGTAGAACGATACAGTGCAATGAAGATTTCATGGTGCTGCTAGAGCGACGGGGCACAACGGCGCTTTTAAGCCGCTTTGGCCACCGAACCACGCCAAGCCGCCCTAGACCGCTACACCGCATGCAAACTCGAAAAGAACCAACGGCACAGCTACCTGGAGCACATGCTTGACGCGTTAATTCTCAAGGCACTCACTGCTGGGATAGCCAACGAGCTTTGGGTCCGCTGCAACAGGCCAACCGAAGCACAGCACTCACGTGCACGTTAACTTTCAGTATGCACCTACACCTACACCCACACAAACAAGAAATTACATGCACGTACACCTGTATCTAGGGAATACTGATGTAGACTCAGTAGTGCACACGCACGTGGGTGCATACGGACCCATTCGTACAGAGGCAACCACCCGCCCAAAGCACCGGCGGAATCAACACCAAGTACTTCCAAGATGTTCCAAGCAGCTGCTGGGCAAACGGAATGCGGCCACATCACGAACGAAGCATAACGATCCCGCGGAAATGCGCGGTCGCAGATGAACTTGAAGATGCATACGCATGTTCTGTACACCTGTTCCGTCGCTCCGGGTGAGGATTTAGTAAATCCAGATGCTCAAGCGCATAGTTATATATACATTCGTACACAAAGCCGACCTTCCGCCCGACAAGATAGTGGCACCAACACTTCAGCTACTTCGGAACAGGCCTAAAGCAGCTGCTCGCAAAGCTGGAAGCCGCCATTCGACACACATAATGCGACCTGGCGGCGCACTGCAATTCACCTTTCACCAATAGTGTGGACTCAAAATCATACTTCGTGCACGTACACAATACACACGCCACAGGTACATTTACATAAACACATATACATGTATACCCGCAGATCCATCATAGCCGTGGTTAGCCGCAACTTCGACAACGTGCCCATTTCTGTCTCTACACAGTATGCAAGTCACGGACCCTCCCATGTGTCGCCCTTGAATCGCTCTTAGCTTCATAGGTCCTGCGCTGACGGCAGCAAGGAGGCGTCTTTGTCATTGGGCACTTTCGGCTCCCCTCCACAGAATTCTTTATCTATTCCTGCCTCTCCCATTTGAATCTTGAAAGTGCCCTTGTCTCCCCAGTATTCGTTCCAGCTGTTCACAGCTAGCCAGTAGTCCCTCCCATCTTCGTTCCCGAAGCCAATCACCTTCACTGCGTGACCACCCATGGGCATGCCTGTCACGTGGTGATACACCCCCTCCTTGTACAGCAGGAAGTCCTCATAAACGAGGAAAGCGCCGGTGAGAGAGCCATTTTCCATGAGTTCCCGTTTAATTTGGTCCCGACCTTCCACGCTGTATGCACTCGTGGCGAAATGTAGATCATCCTTGAATGGCTTCACCTTGCTGGTGTACTCTGCTTCCTCACAATCCTTGCGGCACTTTGGAGCCTTGGGCAAGGGCCCCTCACACTCTGGGTAGGGCCCCTCCGAGTGGTGCTGGCAAAAGGGAATCTCGTAAGGCCAGCAGCTTTTGCCAGTGTGCAGCTCGTTGTAGTCACCGCCGGTTACCACCCCATCGTTCGAAAACCACCGCCAAGCCATCCTCGGCTGGCCCCCGGAACAGCCAAAAGACAAACAGTGCAACAGGTCGCAGCATGAAGTCGTGTGCTGCGGCGACAAAGTCTCCCGATGGCGGCCGCCTGACTTGATGCAGAAGCGGTCGTTCAGGGCCTCCGTGCTGGCGAAGGCCCAGCACGAGCCGCAGTCGCCTTGGTCTCGGACATGGCCAATCACCTCTGCGCACTGAGGAAAGGCCTCTCTGGCGTCGAACTTGTCAGTTTTCAGAACCTGATGCGTCTCCCCAAACACCTTCACAGGCAAAGGTTCCCCAAGCGGCACCTCTGGCTTGTCTGGATCTGAATAGAAAGAAAGGTAAGTACCCATCTGCCTTTTCGCGTCTTTGATGCTGTGATGCTTGAAGCGAGGAGACACTTCTGCTTCCCACGTCACCGCCTGTTCAGGGTCTAGGCCCTGCTCAGCTGCTTGCAGCTTCAGCCGCTGCATTTTCACCCGCAAGTGCTGCAGAGCTCCGTTGCTAACAGCTGGTCGGCTTCCCCAGAATTCGCTTTCCGCGAGGCTTTTCAATACTGGCCCATGAAGAGGGGTATCTGCCCCGCTTTGTTCCGATGCATTGGATACCAGCTCGCTAACGTGCCGACGGAAGTGATCCCGCCACAGCCTCATGGCCTCCTGGTCCTTAAGCAGGTACGGCAGCAACTCACGAGATTCGTCAGGCTCTCCTTTCAGCACGCGCCTGCAGTTCTCCGCACCTTGCGTGCGGGAACCGCTGGGACCGCAAGCTTGGAGGGCTTTGCCATGGCTAATATCCTTCTCTACATCCCGCAGAATCCGGTCGAATATGGCATCGATGGCAGTGCCCACAGACTGCAGATCTTCCTTAGCGCCGTCCAGGCCATTGGAGGGCATGGCACAACTGAAGATCAGGGGGGTGGAAATGGCCAAGGTGGCCCACAGCTTCCCTATCCTCATTCTCACAAACTCAGAATGCAAAGCGTGGTAGCTAAGTGGACCCCACTGACAGAGACAGATCACAAACTCTGATATGGAGCGTGTGCAACTGCGTGCACCTGAAACCTGTAGACGCGATGGCAAGGGCCGTTTTAAGTGTCTTCTAGCACATAAGATATTTAACTCGAACTTTCCTTTGTTCTGAAGGCGAATTGAGAGCTGATGGGAAAGCACTGGCGGTTGATCCCAAGGCTGCAGCGTGAGGGTGCTTGCATCACCTCGGAACTGCGTTGTGATTGGCTGCCAAGAAGTGGTATTCTGAAGATGAAAAATAGGTGATCGTACTTTTAACAGCAGTCACACTTTGGCACCCCGAAGGTCCCAAAACGCATCTTGAACGGCGCTAACGCGGCAACCAGCACTGACACGAGACGTGACTCCCTTGAGCCTGCGCAAGCGCGCCTCGACCAGAACTGTAGCAGCCGCCTCAAAGCAGTGCCACCGCCAAAGCTCCTCACGAAACTAAATAATCGAAAACTAATTAGTTTAGTATTGAAAATTGAGGGGTCATTTATTGCCTGCTAGTCCTGGGAACGGTGCAACAGTCTCAGCTGTGCAGCTTTGCGTAGTCAAGGTGATGGCTATTTCTCACTAAGAGGCGGCACTTGTGTGTGGATTCTAAATGAAACCTGCGGTGTTTGACGGTGCTCTGGAGAGGCTGAAGTAGCCACTGAAGTACAACGCGACAAATTGCTGCTGCTGCTGTTACACCATCGAAAGGCTTCCAGGAGCCAAATGCCTAAAAGGCAAAGTCACGTCTTCCACACTTTGTGTCCGGGAACCTAGCGAGAGCCATAACGCACTAGAGTTTGACCCTAAGCCAAACAGATACGGATAAAGTACGTCATCATCGTTGCGCTGTCAAATACACAGTGGCCCTTTAGTGACAGAGCAGAAGCCGAACGTCAGCGCGTTGAATGAGGCTGAGGTGACGGCATCTGCGAGTTGCGGAACTCGTGTAAGGGAGGCCATACGTTATCTGCTACTCAAAAAGTGTACTTCAACTGAGAATTTGGCCTGCCTTAATGAATAAAACTGAGTAGCGAGTCTGCACAGCGAAGTTCCAGTTGCAAGCCCACCTGGGTGCCTCGTTGAAGGAGACTGAAGTTTTGCAGCTTTTGCTTTTCCCTATAGTTGCATGCGAATAGGCATATCCAGATCAATCATTATTTATGTTGCTATCGGTCTTCAAGGCCCAAGCTAACAGCCTAACTACGACGCGAAGTGCAGAACTGCATGAGCGTCGACCCCTTATTCAAGCCCCTTATCATCTCTTTTTTGGTTTCTGTCTTGTCATGTACTTCCTTAACATACCTACGCATAGGGGAAAGGAGAAAAGGAAAGGTATAATTCTCCTGTGACCAGGCACTGAGTTTGGGTAACAAGCCCGGTCTTGCTATGCAGATTCTCGGCCTCCTCATACTTTATTGTTCCCACCTTCTACAGTGAAAAAGTTTTATTTCACTTGCTCCACTGTGATATACTGAGGAAGTTGAGGCTAGGAGTTGACAGAAAAAGGGCCATCGCTTCCAATTCAGCGGTCCCCGGCTACGCCAGTGCGTCGCCAGGGCTTGTCTAAAAGCTCTACGGGGTCCTAGACAGCATTACATTCATTACAGCTGTAATTACAAAAAACATCGAGTCTAGTATACTGGGGAAAAGAGACCGAATACCAACAGAAGCAGCGGAACCCAAAAGACGGGCAGCAGAAGGGCGCATCACTAACACGCATGTTGGGAAGTCACCTTAACCTGAGCTCTAGTCGATCAACAGCCAGTGCCCTGCTGAAGCCAGGCAGCGCCTCAATACTTAGGAAAGCTTTGCATATGTGTGCAGCTTCCTCTAACCACACCACAACCGCCGTCATACCTTGCAGAATAAGCACTATCACACTCTGACCTGTTTTAAAAATATCGTCTGACGGCATTACTATGGTGCCAAACAACGTATTTTCATATCTAATTATCAAGCGGATACTTCTGTCCTGTCCTGGGTATTTCTCCATACCACCCTGGCTGCACAGCGTAGTGTACCTTTCGTAGGCAAACCCAAGCCCCAGGCCTATCTGCGCGCTGCTCTTAATCACCCTAGGGCTGAAGCACCCAATCATCCACATTTATC